ACTTATTGATTAAAACCTTCAATAACAACTTTATTGAATGATAAAAGTATATCTGTCATTTTCAAACTATGAGTTTTAGGACATAAAACCCAACACATTGTAGGTCCAATTGACAATAAATTTGCACAACTTAAAATAAGACATCTGAAATTTATCCATTAAAATTTAAATTATCTTCAGAATTTTTTTTTAACTTTGAATTTAATTTAAAAGTCAAAATATGATTGAAATTCAAATATGGGATGAATTTGAAAATTTGGAATTTATCAAACTTTACATTGAACGTTGGATTTTAGTTCAAATTTGAATTTTGGCTCAAATTCAAAAACATGGAATTTTTCCAACTTAATTAAAAAAAATCGGAATATAATTCAAATTCAAATTAGAGATTTTTTTTTAATTTACGCAAAAATTAAGCTGGATTATCAAATTTGAATTTTGGATCAAATTTGAAAATATGGAATTTATCCAACCCAATTTAAAACTCGGAATATAATTTGAATTCAAAATTGGGATGAATTCAAAATTTTTTAATTTGTCCAACTTTAAATTAAATGCTGGATTTATGCTTCAAATTTGAATATTTCATCAAATTTGAAAATATGGAATTTATCGAACGTAATTTAAAAGTTGGAATATAATTCAAATTCAAAATTGAGATGAATTTGAAAATTTGGAATTTATCCACCTTTAAATTGAATGTTGGATTATGGTTCAAATTTAAATTTTAGATCAAATTTGAAAATATGAAATTTATCCAACGTAATTTAAAAGTTGGAATATAATTCAAATTCAAAATTGACATGAATTTGATAATTTGGAATTTATCCAACTTTAAATGGAACGTTGGATTATGGTTCAAATTTGAATTCTGGATCAAATTTGAAAATATGGAATTTATCCCACGTAATTTAAAAGTTGGAATATAATTCAAATTAGAAGTTAGACAAGAATTTGAAAAGGATTTAAATTTGATATCCAATCAAATTTAGAATTTAAATTTGAATGAAGAATGAAGAATCATACTTGGGAGCTGATTTGAGTTAAAATCTCACCAAATTTCAGTTTCGAATTTAAATAGGAATCTTATATGGGTTGGGATTTGATTTGGGTTAAATTTAAATTAAGAATCCAATCAAATATCCAACCTGAATTTGAATAAGGAATTCTATTCGAATTAGGATTTGGATTATTCTTCTGGTTTGAATCTCAAATCATTGCCTATAAATTGAGCCTTCAGGTGCATTGGTACAAGCACACGAGAAGTCCATTGAAAAGGTTGGCTTCAAAATTCCTTCCTTTTTTTCCTTAAATTCTTGTCTTCTAGTATTCACGTTCTTCCATTCTTTATGCAGCTTTGGATTGTCATCGAGGTTATCATCTTCTATTCGTCCATCTTATTTCCATCGACAAAGAGTAAGAAATTTCTCCTTATTATTTCTGTGATTTTTTTAATATTTATTAAACACTTGTCAAAAGAATTTTTCTTCTCTTTTTTTTAACCTTTCC